ATCAACTTGTAGTATCAAATGCCATCTTTAATTGCAACCCTCAAGTGTTTCAAATGGATGCTTGAAGAGGAAGTTACAACCTTGGAAAGTTGGTCATTTGATCATGAATTTTTGTTATTAGTGAAATTTCAAAAACCCTAATTTTGACAATTTTGATCTTTTCCTTGATTTTATTAATTTATCTTGATCAAACTCAATCATTTTACACATTTTCTTGATTCTTGACCTGAGAAGTCCATGGTTGACCAAAAATGTCAAAAGTCAAACTTTGACTTTGAGCATCTGTTGACTTTTCATCAGTTGAATCAAAGTTTTTCAATTATCCATAAATTCAACTTCTTGAGCTAATTTAATCACATGAATGGGCCAAAATAATGCATTTGAAGCCTTTAAATCATACTCCAAGATATGAGATCATGTTTTGGTCAAAGAGTCAACATCAAGCTGTTTTTGATCAAAAACCCTAATTTGGAGCACATGATGAATTAGAACTTGATGAACTAGAATTGATGCAAAATCAAACTTGAGTATTGGTGGAGGGAATATCTTGATCATTATGCATAAGTAGAGGAGCTTGAGATGTTGAGGATCACACTAAACCCTGATTGATCAACCACTTGAACTCCTCGATGCAAAACCCTAACTTGTAAACAAAATAAATAAAGCATCTTCTTGTATTTTCATGGGATTAGGAATGCATAAAAGACACACACAAGAAATTATTGATGTTATGAAAATGATGCAAATGAAGGTGGGATCTTATGAGTGATGATAATCCTCATGAGATCCGAATGAAAGGTATTTAAATATAGAAGGCTTGGAATTTTTGTCCCTGGATACAATGATATGTTAAGCTATGAGCTGACAGACTTCTCCTTTTTTAGTTTGTTGAGGTATGACATGAAATGAAATGAACCATAATACAATTTCTTATGATGGATGATGGACATACATATAGGGAAAGATGGAGATGTATGGTAGTTATGATCCACAGGAAATGTCAAAGACAATGGATGATGACTCACTAGGGGTGACAAATTATTTGGGGAAAAGACACTGGGGAAAATTCAAAGTGATTTATCAAAACAGATTCAGATATGACCTGAAGAAATTTAGAATATAATTGACAAAACTGAAGTCTTCTTACTAGAAGATCATCCACACAAAACAAGATAAGATCAGAAGTCTCCTTACAAGAAGATCATCCACATAAATCAAGGTAAACGATGATTCTTTACAAAGAAATCAATCGAAACAAACATCATTGGGGTTTGTTTACAAGAATAACATCCAAGCTTCTGGAAATTCTCTAAAGTGAAGATTCATATATGACCTTCTAGGAGCCATCAGGAAAAAACAAACAGGGTAATCAAACTCTTTGTATGTGCCAATAACAATTGGACATAGACCGCAAGCATTGGTTATAAACAACTTTTAATAGGTCACTGCCAGTTACAACTGGAATTTCAAAGAAGGGGCCAGTGAAAACTATACTCTAGGAGATGCCAATAACAACTGGACTTTTGATATACCAATAATAAATTGATTCTTAAGATGCCAATAACAATTGGACTTGCAAATTATGCCAGTGACAACTAGACTTTAAGGAAAATGAATGCCAATAAAAATTGGACTTTAAAAGAATGCCAGTGACAACTAGAATTTAAAGATAGGGCCAATGACAACTGGATTTTATAAATGATAATAGTAACAACTGGATTTCGGGGTACCAATAACAATTAGATTTTGCAATGAGTGACAATAACGACTGGGCTTGAGAATAATGTCAGTAACAACCAGGCCTGAAAAAGGTGCCAGTGACAATTGGATTTTAAGTAATGGGTGCCAGTGACAATTGGACTTTAAACATACCAATAAAAATTGAATTTTGAATTCCAATAACAATTGGAATAAAAAATGGGTGACAATAACAACTGGGCTTTGGAAAAGGTCACCAGTGACAACTGGACTTCAAAAGGTACTGGTAACGACCAGACCTTGGGTCAAGAGATAACAATCAACAACGAGACTTGGGTCAATGCAAAATGAGTATGAAACACCTTTCGGGCTATGCATGACATATGAATGTTCAAGAGCTGCAAATGCTGACTTTATGCAGACTGGGAGTTTGTGGAGACTCTTATGGAGGTTCTGATTCCACAACACCGGTAATTTAACCAAATGTCTTGTGACGGACACTGCTAAGGGAGACTCTTATGGAGGTTATGATTCCTCAACACCGGTAATTCCTAAAAATTTGTATTTATTCAAGAATGGTAGCACGCAAATGGTGGTGCTTCATGGAACATTACAATTTTGAAAATGTTCCATTGCCATAATGTGAAACCCTAACTTTGGTCTTTCATATATCTCAATTGAAAAAAGTTTTTTGGACCAAGTTTTCCACCATGATGAAGTAGGAAGTATGCTCTTTAAATGCAACCCTCAAGTGTTAAGATTTGTTGCTTAGATTGTTCACAAATTAACCATAAAGTCATGCACTTGGAAATGTTAAAAACTTAGAAAATTTTCTAAGTGTTTTGAGATTTACAACAACTTGAAAACTCAACTTTAACCATCAATATCTTCCACTTCAAGAAAGCTTTTGGCTTCACATTTTCATCAACTTGTAGTATCAAATACCATCTTTAATTGCAGCCCTCAAGTGTTTCAAATGGATGCTTGAGGAGGAAGTTACAATCTTGGAACGTTGTAAAGGTGAGAAAATACTTAGAAGGGGGGGGGGGGGGGGGGGGTTGAATAAGGGTTTTCAAATAAATATGGCAATAAAAACACAATGATTTTTATCCTGGTTCGTTGAACTCAACTAATCCAGTCCACCCTATCAAGAGTGATTTGCCTTTCTCCACAAGGACTTAATCCACTATAATCAAACAGATTACAATGTCAACCACTAAGAACAACTGTCTTAGTCTTCTCAAGAACTACTGACCACAACTTGGTCTTCTTAAGGAACTTTTACAATCAAATGTAAACTAAACAAGTGTTTAAAAATGCTTCTATGAAAGCTATATCACAACTGTGATTTAAACACTTAAGATTAAGAACGAATGAAACTATTCAACAAAGAAATATAATTTGTATGAGAGCTTTGAGAGAGTTTTCAATAGATTAGTCAATATTCATCAATTTCCGTCAACTGTAGAAAGTTGTTGAAGGCTTGCTTTTATAGACAAAGACTTCCAAGACGTTGCAAGCTTGAAGACCGTGTACTGCAAAGTAGCTGTAGTCTTTTGTCTTCACATGACTTGACCTTTCCTAGAAGTAGAATGTTCAGAGAAATCCTTTTTTCCTGAGTTCTTGTGTCTAGCATAAAAGAGGAAAGAATCGTTTTGGAATATGCCAACGGATATATCTTTGAATAATCTTCTTTAACAAGCTTCTATTTCACAACAATCAACATCAGAGCCTTGAGTGATCAGAGTCTTGATGTTATCAGAGTTTGCTATATCAGAGTGTTGTAGCAAGTGTGCTTCAGCGTGAATAACAATTAGAGCAGAGTTTGGAGATCAGATCCTCAGTACTTGCAGTGAACAGTACTATCAAAGTCTTTTGAAAAACAATGCTTGAAACTCTTCATATAAAGTCTTCAGCTACGCTTCAAATGCTTCTGTAGGCAGCGCTCAGAGTCTTCTAACTAGATGCTTCTGACGCTCAGAGCCTTGCGTAGTCCAATGTTCAGATTCATTTTTGCTTTCAGAAGAATATTAAATTTAATATCTGCAACAAAAATACTTGAACAAATTTAGAGTATATAATTTCTTAATACAAAAATTCATTAGTGTTATCATCAAAACATAGAGATATAACTAAGAACCAATATGTGTTCTAACACGTTGGTCATTTAATCATGAATTTTTGTACTTACTGAAATTTCAAAAATCCTAATTTTGACAATTTTGATCTTTTCCTTGATTTTCTTGATTTATCTTGATCAAACTCAATCATTTTACATACTTTCTTGATTCTTGACTTAAGAAGTCCATGGTTGACAAAAAATGCCAAAAGTCAAATTTCTTCGTTTGTGCATCTGTTGACTTTCATCAGTTGAATCAAAATTCTTCAATTATCCATAAATCCAACTTCTTGAGCCAATTTAATCACATGAATGGACCACAATGATGCATCTGAAGCCTTTGAATCATACTCAAAGACATGAGATCATGTTTTGGTCAAAAAGTCAACATCAGATTATTTTTGACCAAAAACCCTAATTTGGAGCACATGTTAAATTGGGACTTGATGAACTTGAACTGATGCAAACTCAAACTTGATTATAGGTGGAGAGAATCTGTTGATCACCATGCATGAGTAGAGGAGCTTGAGATGTTGAGGATCACACTAAATCCTAATTGATCAACCACTTGAACTCTTCGATGCAAAACCCTAACTTGTAAACAAAACAAATAAAGCATATTCTTGTATTTTCATGGGTTTAACAATGCATAAAAGACACACACAATAAATGAAAGTGAGATCTTAGGAGTAAAAATTAAGGTATGACACTAATTTTATGTAATTAGGTTAAAAGTTGATTTTTTAATGTCAATTAAAGGTGCCGTTGAAATTAGTTAGGTGTTTATGTGTTAGACCAAAAATAAAATAAGATTAACGTTGACATTCTATGCAGTGAAATCTTATAGAAATCTCAAAAATGACTATTTTTTTAGATTTGGCACCATATGACGAATAAAACTATAATTTTCTGTTTGGAAACATACTTTAAAAGGAATTTTTCGGTTGATATTATTACATATATTTTCCATTAAATAACGATATTTTATTTATATGACATGGGGGTGTACTTGTATATTCGTAAACACATGCTTTGAAAATAACAAGTCCAAGGTTAAGAATAAAAACCCAACCCAGAAGATAAAAAGCCCATACAAGTAAACCCTATATATACTCACCAACCTCTTCAACTTCATCAAAATTCCGAGTAAACCCTAGCGCCGTTCAATTTTCCCCCAATTCTAATGTCAGATCCATACGAACGTGCAAAAGGAGGTAGGTTATCCTTCAAAGGAGGAACCCTAGCAACTAGGCAAAAATCCATTGACAAAAAGCGAAAGAAAAAGAAGAACAAAATCGAAAACCCTAACCCTAACATTGAAGAAGAAACCTTAGTAGAAGGAGAAAAAAATGAAACCGTTGAAGGATCTGAGTCGTCGGAGTACACAATTGACGCGGCGAAGAAAATGAAGTACGATCAACTTTTTCCGGTTGAGGCGAAGAAATTCGGTTATGAACCGAAGAGTAAGGCCAAATCGATCGAAGAAGCGCTTGATGATCGGGTCAAGAAGAAAGCTGATCGTTACTGTAAATGATGTGATTGTAAGGTTTCCTTTTTCCTATCTTTAATTGATAAATAATATTTAAGTAATTTGTTGTTCATATGTTTTGATTTTAGTGAAGTTCTTATTTTCTGAGGTCATTTTACTATTTTTTTCTTTGATTTTATCACCATGATTATTATTAAATTGTAGTTCAATTTATAGTGTTAACATTTTATGTTAGAGGCTTATTTGTCATTACGCCCAGTGATGTATCAATATACTATTGAACGGTTACACTGTTTTATTCACGTCCAATTTGCATTTCTCTCTCTTTCTCTCTCTCTCTCTCTATATCTCTGTCTCTCCCTCTGTGTGTGTTCTTGTGTGTGTTTGTGTGCGTGTGTAGGAATGCAAGAAGGTAGTGAATGAAATGGGTGATGACAACCGTAGATGATTTTATAAGCTATGAGATCTGAGGGCTTTGGATACCATGTTTTCCAGTTTGTTATTTGAAGCATGAGTTTGAAAATTAGTTTTACATTTTGGTTGAAAAAATTTCTATTTTTCAATTGTGTGCAGATTCAATGCAATTTATTTAATCTTTTGCCTTTATTGCCACCAATAGTTGTTTATTAAGTTTCTAAATTGTTTGGAGTTTGTTTTTAGTGAATGATGTTATACATACCTGAAATGGAGTGCTAACTAATGTGATTGTGAGATTGAATGTGATGGAATGATACATTTTTAATAAAATAATCACTCACTGGAATGAGATCTATATTCCACTCCACTCCATTTCACTCTGCTGTGATATGTTCCGTCAATCCAAACATTGGAGAAAAGAACTTGTTGTTCTGCCCTCAGTCTTGTATTTTACTAAAATGACTTTATTTTTCTCAAAATCCCGCCCAATGATGTATAAATAGAGTATTGAGCGGCCACATGGATTTTGTTCATGACCTGAACTGCATCTCTCTTTCTCTGTCTCTCTCTCTGTCTCTGTCTCTCTCTCCTTTTGTTCCTTGTGTGTGTGTTTGTTTATGTTTTTGTTTGGGTAACAACTTTGAGTTTGGATAACAACTTTGAAAGGTGCAAGATGGGTTATGAATAAAGTCTGTGATTATGGCTGAAGATGAATTTTATTAAGCTATGAGATCTGAGGGCTTTGGATTTCTGTAGATTTTTAGTATTTTTTTTTAATCAAATTAGAGATACACATACATATGCACAGTTTATTTAATTTTACCCAATGATGGACAAAATAGGCTATTAAGTGGCTGCATGGTATTGTTTATAGCTTGACGAGCACCATTGCCTATGGCATTCTTTTCTCTCTTTCTCTCTCTCTCTCACTCTCTATTCCATTCATAAATAAATATATATATATATAAATAAATATTCACATGGTGCTCAAAGACTGAACAATGTCATTGTTGAAGCTGCTTATGATTTTTCCTAGCTATGAGATCTGAGGGTTTTTTTAGCATTGTAATTTTATTTTATTTTTTGTTTTAAAAATTAATTTCATTGTCTTTTTGAATTTTTTACTTAAAATACAATTATTTCTTTGTCATATACTAGTATAATTTTCCTGATGAACACTACTAAATCTATTAATGCAGAATAGGACTCCTGGTTTTCTTGTTACAATCCTGAGAGATATCGATAAATCTGATATGATTCTTATAAATTTATTGATCATTCCCGGCAAAAGAAGTTTGAGTAAATAGGTAACTGCTGAATGACCCCAGCAACCATACCGGTACTATATTTCCCCTCATTTAAACTATTCAACTATTCAGACAAGGGCATGTTCAATGGCTGACTAATCTTCAAGTTTTCTTATACATGTAAATTCATGTTTGTATCTTAGTCAAATGAATCTAATTCCTGGTTATGTTTATAATCATGCAGGACCAAATAAACATAGTAGAATGAATCTCATAACAATTTTAAACTATTTTATCTTTCAATGATACTGAAGAGTCTGCTGCTAAAAAAGAGAGTCTGGCCTTAGTTTGCAGCATTTATAACTGCTGCTAAAAAGTTTTGTTTGCCTTTTGTTAAAAAATTAAATAGAGATTTTTATTTTGCAAAAGTAAAAATAGTGTTATTCGAGTGAAAGACACTTAACATTGATATAATAAAACAATTTTTGTTTTGTATTATAATTTGCATATCTAATTTCCATTTATATTACGCACATGTGTGTGTATATATATATATAATAATTGATTGATTAAAATTCAATTAAATAAGTTTATTAAAATTCAATTAAACAAAGTTTATGTTAATATAATTTGCCTATTATACCAAGTTTTAACTAAGGCTTATAGCATATAAAAAATTTGTAAATGGTGTATCTGAATATAGAACAAGTTTTAAAGATATTTAGAAAAGTAAGAAGTCTATAAAGTTGTACAATATAGAGTTTTAAACATATAGATTATGAAATTATAAATTTTATAGAATATGAATAAATTAATTTAAAATGATAAAATAAATTTAACCGTTGAAAAAAGAAAAAATAATGCATATGATTAGTTTTGAACATGACAATTTAATTCTTGCATTGAAAATATTGTTGAAATTGGATGAATATCCCCATATAATCAATTAATCAAGTTTTACTTATAATAAGAAAAAAACGCATTTCTTTTGTTTTTTAATAATTAAAACAAAGTTTTGCTATAACTCATGCGAATTTTTAATCCAAATATTTCACTTTTTCAAAAAAATATTTTCAAAAGGCACTAACATTTTATCTTTTGCCTCTTGTTGTAAAAAAGCGGTGATTGAAAGATTTTAATTTTTTTTAAGACGACGTTCATGGATTTCACAAGGTTTGTTGTCATGTGGCCCTAACGACATCCACCGTCAAATGTCTTTGTCGACTTGTCTGATGGAATGTTATTCAACTACTTTCTTGCATTTGCATTTGACATCCTAATTGCGTTAATGTAGTATTAAAATGATGGTTGAGTTAGAGCATATCCAGATTTTCACCTCATACGGCTCCTGGAAAGCCTTAAGTAAATCTTATTTTGGTTTTTTGTCAAAATCAAAAATAGATGCATATAAGAAGAATCCGTGGATCTTACCACTAAGTTTCTTATTTATGCCGTTTTATAGTCAGAAGAGCATTACTGATGAACTGGAATTACGGTTAGAAAAGAAAGAATACGCGATTCACAACAATCTAAAATCATATCTCGAAAGGTATTATAAGCCCAAGCATCGTTATAATGCAAATAGCCCTAAATACAGGATTTCTTAATAGATAGATATGTGGGTTATTATTTACGCTGTGCGGATTTTACGTACTACGACGAAAACTACGCGAAGATTGTCAGCGTAATAACTCTCCTGAAGCAAACGAAACAAGCAAAACAAATTTTGTTGTCTACTATAAGGAGGGGAGAACTAGATCTGGAAACTTTTCTGCGTATAGTGAGTGATGATCCTTGTTTTTCTTACAGCAGGGATATTGAGGAAGTGCAGGAAAACCTAGTTTTTTGTTTAGAACCCATTCGTTGTTCTTACAAAAAAAACTACGAACAATCATTTCTATATCAAACCATAAGCGTATCATTGAAGCACAAACGCCAAATTATAAATAAAGATAAAAATCATTATGATTTACTTGTTCCTGAAAATATTTTCTCCCCTAGACGCCGTAGAGAATTGCGAATTCTAACTTGTTTGAACCATAGGAAGAATCGGAAGACGATGGATAGAAACACAATAACTGATAAAGAAAAAACGAATTCTTCTGAAGTTTTGACTAAAAAGAAAGATCTTGATAGCGATACAAAAAAACTAAGGAATTTAAAATTCTTTCTTTGGCCAAATTATCGATTCAAAGATTTAGCTTGTATGAACCGCTATTGGTTTGATACACATAATGGAAGCCGTTTCAGTATATTGAGAATACGTATGTATCCTCGCCTCGATTGAAAATCTAGATTTTTGTTCTATTTATCCTAATATTTCTCGTAACATATCTATCTGATATGTGAACAATATTTATAGATAAATAAAATAAACGTCCACACACATTGTGGGAGTCATACGAATTCAATTTCAATGATGTCTCCATAAATCCATCGAAAAATGAATAAAATCTATTGTCTTATTTTTGTCTTTAAAATACAAGACAATAGATTTTATTCATTTTATGAATCCATAAATATAGTATTTATTATCTATTTGAATTACATTCCTTAATAATGAATTTGAAAAAAAAAAAAGAAATTCAGAATTGTTAAATAAATGAAGAGAAATTTTTTTATAAAAAATTAAAAATAAGTGTAATTACTATTACTGATCAATAAAAATATCTACCAAAAAGGAGGGGGGGAAAGCTTTCATTTTATGATCAAAAATCCAGTTATACCTGTTATTTCAAAAAAAAAAAAAGAAGAAGAAAACCCGGGATCGGTTGAATTTCAAGTATTCATCTTAACTAATAAGATACAAAGACTTCACATTTTGAATTACATCCAAAGGACTATTTATCTCAAAGAGGTTTACGTATAATTCTGGAAAAACGACAACGACTATTGTTGTATTTGTCAAAGAAAAACAAAATACGTTATCAAAATTTAACAAATCGGTTGGGTATTCGGGATTCATTCACAAATTAGCTAATTTCAAGAATCATTTTCAATTATTCGATTTATTAGATACTGAATTTTGATTAACTTTTTTTTGAACGACTCATGGAAGAATGAATCGAGGAAAAACCTATGAATGTCCCAGCTACAAGAAAAGACCTCATGATAGTAAATATGGGGCCTCAACACCCATCGATGCATGGTGTTCTGCGACTTATTGTTACTCTGGATGGTGAAGATGTTATTGATTGTGAGCCAATATTGGGTTATTTACACAGAGGTATGGAAAAAATAGCGGAAAACCGAACAATTATACAATATCTGCCTTATGTAACACGTTGGGATTATTTAGCTACTATGTTCACAGAAGCAATAACTGTAAATGGACCGGAACAATTGGGAAATATTCAAGTACCTAAAAGAGCCAGCTATATA